ATTCAAAACAAAGTATTTCAAAATATATTTTGTATAGAAAGCGCTTTAGAGGAAAATTTGGTCAAATAGCTTCATTTGTATCATGACTTATTTTGAAAATGTCAAGAAGTATTGACATTGCACTAAACTTTTCCAATTAACAGCTATTGGAATTTCTGTTGGCCTGATAAAAAAATCATTCTGTTAAATTTTTTGAATATGAACATTCAAACATCATCAATCTTGCAATCTGTAATGATTCATTCCACTTACAATTGGATATTTATTACCTATTTTGAATATTTACATTCAAAAACTTTTCATTTACTTTATTTCATTAATTACGTTCCATCCACGTATTTTCAACGTGTTTTTGAATAAAACATATATACTTTCGCCTTACTATCTGTTATTTGTAGCTTACTGTTTGTTGGCTAGTTATTTTTGAGGTGGGGCGCGAGACTTGACAAATTCTAGGAAAGAGGCGCGGCTTAAAAACTTTGAGAACCACTGTATTACGGTTTATGAGGTAATCTATATTCCAACCACTGGTTTGATTGGTCGGAACATCCAGGCGCCAACACCAACCGTCGTACGTAAATTTTCTTGATAACTCAGTACCTTTTTGTGACATCCGACAGGATGGTGATTTAACAAAGAGTAATGAACAGAGAGCAGGTACGTCAACGACACCACAAATAACTAACGAAATTCTAGGTAACTACTAATGACATTGTAAATATTCTTTCCTTGTGCTTATTTCGCAGCTGAAACACATACCATGACAGCCGAACATTTCTTCTCTAACATGAAAATTGTTATGTAACAGTGATGCAACGTGAGAAAAATGAAAGAACAAAGGAGCGATGCTCAATATATGGAAATATATATCAAATAAATATGCACGAAGTCCAAAACAAAGTACTTTCGTACCGTAACTACCGGTATATATTAATATCCGAGCGTCGAGTGAAATCGGAAAATCCGTCACGCTGAGCCGATTAAAAATAAAAATATATCAAAATTTTGGACATAATAAATTACAATCTTCAACCACAGAAAATGTCAAAGCAATTAGTCCATTAGTGAATGAAAAAAGTGAATGGGAATGAAAAAAAATCTTTTCATACCAACACGAAGAAAATACCAACAAGAAGAACAAAAACATATACGATTATGATTTGGTTCTGCGAGACTTACTACTTATCCTTCTTTTATTCTCTTGTGCCCGCGGATCCGTATGATATAATGCAAGGATACTGTAGCAAGAGTAAAGATAACTATCTTAAGTGATTCAAGAGTCTTGCTGCACCCTAACACAAATAAATTTCTGTAGCGTTTCGTATGACCAAGATCAGAAGAAAAACAGGGCAACACTTTATAATAAATAGAAAAATTAATAGCTTTTTTTGTGGTCGCGGTTGTGATGTAGTGCAATGGTCGAAGACCGTTATTGGTTGTTTCACTCAACTCCTCAAAAACTTGAAATTGCTAACAATTGTGAAATTCTCAGCAGCAAAGAAGTGTCAATGATTAGACCGTCTGATGCCACTGGCAGTTTTGTAGATGTGAAGTACATGTCAACGCATAGAATTGAACTACAAGCAAAATAACTAAATCATTTAGACCTCCCGACAAATGTGAAAACCGAGCGACAAAAATGTTTTTGAAAATAATCTACCGAGCCATTTTTCGGACATAAATGAAAATATAGTACACTAACCGGAAGAGAACAGTTTAAATATGGGGCGAAATACAACTGAGGTATTCAAAAAAAATTCTTTAGAATCTAAAGATTAGATATTCAAGGCGATATATATAGATTTTAACAATAAAGAGAGAAAACGAAAACACGATTTCATGCAAAAACAAAATGAAATTGAAATGAGCGATGAAACTAGGTCAGAATCAAAGGATGACACTGATCTTCATCCACAAAAAATAAAGCGAAAACTTTTTAAAAATGGAAAATCAAATGTTGTACATGTTAAATCTATCGAAGATAATTCGGAAATTGCTATGGGAGAACGGGTAATGGGCCGTTTTTGTACTCCCGAGCAATTGCTTTTTCGAGTTACCGATCAGAGCAGAATGTTTTCCGAGAGTATCCCTCTGGGTGGTAAGAGCAATCACACATTCTTTGCAAACAATTCGAGAGGAATTTTGTTGTTGATGACTGCGGAGTCTGGGATAGCAAAAAGTCAGGCTCAATCAAATCCATATATTACATAAAGGACGGAAAATTTTGTCATATCAGGCAAAAAATGGGGAAGTACCTTGAACAGCGTGTAAAAAAAAGGGTAAAAAAATTCAGGAGACCATACACCCGGCTGACGATGGTTTAGTGTTTTTTTACAGATATTATTCATGCCTGAGAAGATGCCCAGAACTCAAAAGACGAGTATCTTGGTTTGACACTATTCAAGGTACGAAAGGGGGTGCGTCAAAAACAGTGGTAGAGAATATGGGATCGTCACCATCAACACCGTCTCACTGCGCGAATATTTCTGCTAGAGTGTAGGTTCACATGCCGAAGCATGTCACAGAAGCAATCGACGAAAAGTTACGTTGCAACGTACCAACCAGAAAAATTTATCACCGAGAAATGGTGTTTAATGATTCGACATCTTCGCCACGCGACTTTAAACAAGTTCCAAACAGAAAAATGAAACTCAACAAAGGAGAAAACTCTAAGAGTACAAAATATAATATTGCCGATGAAGTTCTGGATGTTTTAAATATGATAAACACAAATCCCTACACTACAAGGTAATAAAAAAGACACGGACGATAGCCCAAATTTTTTGGGACCTGTTTATCAACATTGGGATGCAAGGTTTGGAACTTACTGCCGATTTTCCTTCGCACTTGAGTGCTAGATTGTCTAACTCGCATTTTTCTTCTGAAATTCGTCTAAATATTGGAAGCGACAATGAAAAAGCTCTAACGAAAGCAATAAATCAGTGCTGTTCTCTTGCTAATAGATTTCTATGTAAAAAACATCTAAAGGAAAATTTACGGCATCATCTTCGAGAAAAAACAATTCTGTCACTAACACAAAGATCCGAAGTATACGACTTTTTTTTTTCCGAAAACGGCGTCGCCTTTGCTGATTCGTTAAAAACATTCAACAACAAAGTGAAGATTATAAACAATAATCCTATGGATGCCAATATATAAGTGAAGGTTATAACCAATAATTCCTACTGGATGCATTAAGTGGGTGATCGCGCTTTTTCACTGATGTTGTGTTTTATGACTTTCGAGAATGACTAATAATTTTGCTCAAGGGCATTTATCAAATGCGCCGCGATATAAAAATAAAATGCCTCATCATTCTAAGCCACACATTCGAGGAATATTGCTGTCAATCAAACAAAGCACTACGTCGATATATTGTAACGGGGAAAAGTTTTATCCCAGTTAGGTTCAGCAACCGATTTCGCACTGATAGGGTTTACAGAATACACGATCGCAATTCTAAACTAACAATTATTTACTTCTATTTAATATTGAGAAATATTGACATCGACTCCGGAGATTCCAATTTATAACTGCGACTACAAGATCAGCAAAAAAGCCCAAACGTATTTATTGATATCCAATTTCAAGGTTCCAGGAATTGGAAGTATGCAGTTAGTTAAATCAAGACTGTTATTATGATTATGCCGGACATTAAAGTCAATTTCGATATTCCTGTTAAACAGATTCAGTTACGTAGCGACAACAAAAATTCTGACTGTAGCATTACACGGTATATTTTATTTGATGAATGAAAGAATGGATTAAATAAAATAAATATTAATTGGTACAAATACAATATATATACAGTTTGATTTTTACCGTGATATCGGGGTGGATCGTAATATGATATTTATCGTGTGGAATATAAAATAATAATAATAATCAGTCATGCGATCAAGAATTAAACGATATATTATAACGCATAAAACCAGATAATCGAAAATTGACTGTGGTAGAAATGCAATATATATATACTACTAATTTTTCTAGTATCCTCGTGTTTTACAAATTTGAAGCTGATCGAAAAAAAGGGGAATTGGTTGTTTTGTGCATACATAAAAAGAACGAAGGATGCAAGCAAGATCAAAGGAAGTGGTGGGCTATTTGAAGAATGTTAAAATCATGACTTGTTGAATGACGATAGCTTGAAAACGCCGGGTGTATGGGAAATAGGCGTATATTGCAAAATATTTGAAATTTAATGCTTTTATTTAAAAGCATCCTAATTTGACACTAAGGTATATATATATATGCCTTTCTGATAAACAGACACGATTTACTCGGGATTAGTTCGCTTATAATAATGATTAATACTGGTGCCGACTGCCATCTTACACGCAATTTTCCGATTGCAACAGTCTTAATTTTTTGGAATAGTGAAACATTCTTTATTTTAAATTAAATGTCTTTCCGATTTCTCCCGGAAAATGATGACTACTCGACGTTAGATGATAAACATTATTTGCGATTAATTAAGATTAAATTTTACTTTTCACGACACCCGGTTTCCGAAAATACGAATTTCGAATGCGAATTTAGTACGAATATTCATAGCAATTCAATACAAATGTTATTATTAGAAAGGATGAATTTTCATGGGGTCAAAATTCAAGGAAACATCTATTACACGTTACTGCTGTACTAATTATTTGCGTGATGTGGTGTGAAAAGAATTACCAATTGTACTGTAACAAAACATAAATTATTAACAAAGTTTACAAGAGAAACTAGACTTTTATAATAATTTGATTTCAACAACAGGAACGCAAATGCAATAAAATGTCCAACAACCGGAACGCAGTTCCGGTGCGGTCTGGCTATAGCTCACCACTGTATATAACGATATCATATCATCCCGATAACCCACATCCCCATTAGACACCGACTACAGTCAGATAGATAGCTGAGGAGTACACGCGTCACAATATCGCGTCGAGATAATACCATGACGCATCACTCAAGCGTAACGAGAGAACTGTGTAACATAAATATGAACAAAGACGAAAAACGCGTGGTGATATCCGGTTACCACTATGGATCTGCGCTGTTTCTCCCTGTTTCGCGCTGTTTGCGGTGTTTTGCGCCGTTTTCTGGTTGGAAGTTGTGGACGTCGTACATGATATCAAACGTTTTTGAAAATGGACGGAGACGCTGATGTGTTTAATGAAGGTAAGTTTAGAAGTTGAACTCCATATTGTCATATGTCAACTGCAGTACGGTACCGATACAGTTGCATCGCTGTACAGCCATACAACAAAGTTTTAAGATCATACACACTGCCTGAAAAGAGTACCTCAGCGGTGTGTCGCATCGAGCTAATCGTTATGAATGCGCTTGCCACCGCATCTCTGATCACTGATCACCTTGCCTGGGTTCGTAGGTTCGAATCCCATACTGGATGATTAACAGCGAGAGGATTGCTGGACTCCTTGCCGCCGTAGGGTACCGGTAGTTCGCGGTTACGGCCTCATCCATCATCAAGTCCATGCTTCCGAAAACAAATAGGGTAGCTTAGCCACTTTGCGGCCACGATCTATATGCGGCCATCAACTTCATCGATGTAATTAATGCCGAAAAAATTAACGAACCGAGACGATATTTCTCGCGCACTATCGTTCACTTATCCCTCGTAGCTCTGCGAAATTACACTAAAATACGGCCACAAACAACGAAGTTATGACCTAAAATCGACCGAACTACTGATGTAGAAAAGCTTGAAAATCTATAGAAATATAAGAGAATAAAAGATGAAACTTGTCAGTTGTGTTTCTTTTAACCATCTTTAAAGTTTCGCAGTTCTACATTTAAGGAAGGGGGAATGGGGGTGTGCGCATTTCCAATAGGTCGATGATATCTTTGTCGACCAATTTGCGACCACCATGTTTTTGTGTGTTTGATTGCTGCGATGTGGTGCTTTGTTTTTAATTTGACGAGTTCTGTTCGAAATAAACGTGTTCTCAAATATATGACGGTCAGAAATGCAATTAGAAGCTTAATTTTTTCACGCATGGCTGCATATGTTGTAGTCTCGAGGCAGCAGAAACGATTTCCAAGGCTCAAAATCCGTGGTTGCACACTGGTCGTTCGGTCGCAAATATGTCTTCTGAGTGTCATACTTTGGTAGTTTGTATATCTCTCTGGTCGTAGAAAGTTAATTCAAGTTGTAGCATGTAGAATAAATGCCAATGCACATACGGAGAAAAAATTAACAGATTAGAAATATTGGTTGGATGAAATCGTCCGCAGACTGGCTGCACCACCTTAACTGGCTTACTAATCCCATACCCGACCTGGGCTGGTAACCGGATGAGAGGCCGTGGTTCGCCATATGATTAAGTTGTCTTATCGCCTTTTCTCTCCCCCGAGATAAATATGTAAATCCTATCCTAAATATGTAAATCCTATCCTACCGTACCGTACAGTCTGACTGTATGGGGTACCGTACCATATACCAGTATACTGTGATTCCAGCCTTCCCTACATCTTTCTGTCTTTATATATGTTTCTCTAATTGTTTTTATCGTCTTTCAACTTTATATCATCAACTTTACGTTTCCTTTATTACCGTACGGTCTGACTGTATGGGGTACCGTACCATATACCAGTATACTGTGATTCCAGCCTTCCCTACATCTTTCCGTCTTTATATATGTTTCTCTAATTGTTTTTATCGTTTTTCAACTTTATATCATCAACTTTACGTTTCCTTTATATACAACAGCAATATATTGTGACCGAACCAACTTTATTCGCAATGGATTTACAGATTTTAAGTTTGGATTTAACTCTGCTTAGTCAATAGTGCAAGTTGAAACCACACTGACCGCATGCAATCCAACATATTAGTTCGTCGGTTCGCCGTTGAAGTGTTCTTCATAAATCGTGCAGTCATCTTTCTTTATAGTTCTTGTATGGCATTTTTTTCCTAAAAGGGTATTCACATTGTCTGCAGTGTATCAGTCAGTTAGTGGAAGCAGGTTGTCCGCCGATGACAGAAAACCAATTTCTGTGAAAAATTTTATTTTTCAAGATTTCACTTGGATTATGAAGTTGCCATTCTGGTATTTTTAGACTGGATCATTTGAACAGTCACCTGTTTTATTATTCCAAATTCGGCATAAAGCCTATCCTCAATCTGTTAACATAAAATTTAACAATTTAAATTCATGTATCAACCTGTAATACGTTTTTGGAACCTGCATTTGTCATGTAATGCTAAAATGCAAACTTAGGTGATTCAAAATGTATTTGTGACATGTAAATTTGACTGGCTGTACATCTCACAATAATGGTGATTGTATAATTGTAAATATTCGATTGAAAATAGTGGATTTAAAACAGCCCCTCATTTAGGTGCGAAAAGTCAATATCCCAGAGAAGCTTAGAAGATGCAAGTTTAATCTCGTTATCTCTTTTAGCAACTTCCTGAAGGAGAGCTCTATTTTATTTTTTTATTTTTACAGAATTACGTTGAACTTGCTGTTTGTTTTATTATGGTATTTTATTGACATAAGGTATCAAGAACTGGTGCATATTCATGATTCTACCAACAGTATAAATTATGTTTTCAGATTTTGATGATTTAGATTATGAAATGATTGATGAAACTAACATTATTTCTGTATCAGATGTCATTGGTTTCTTTCAAGCGGTTAGAGGTCAGTATGAGTATTGTAGGATTTTACTGTTTTAGCTTTAAATATAAATATTACATTTAACCTAGTTATGGAGTAATTCTATTGATTTGAATTCCATCACCACTTCTAATGTTGCAATCAACTTTCAAAATTTTTTTTTTGATTTTTATTTGGATATTTGAGAGTTATCAAGGGCAAGAATGTTTTATTAATTTATTAGGTTTCTTCTGACTAGAGCCCAGTCAGCCTATCAGTGTGAGTCTAATGCAGACATTTAACTGGGAATTTTAAAATTTTCTTTGAATAATAATACATAATTCTCACACCTTAGAAGTCATACTAAAATAATCATTTTCAGGCTGTGTGAACTTTTTTTATCAATTTCTCCTGGTTTCCTTGACAGTTTATGAGTTAATCTAATCCTAGTCTCTAGCGATTATATAAAAGATAGCAATAGAATAGGTAAACAAACCATGTCTGTTACAGTACAAATTATCCGTTCATATATTTAAATATTGCTTTATCAATGTAAAAGAAAAAAGTGAACATTGTGTCCAGTTTTATCATTACATTCACAATCAACTAGCTTGACAACTTCGTTTGCACTTGTTTGAAGATTGTTTGTGCATTTTAGACATGAGAAAGATGTAACACGCATTATGTGCATATATTCGACCAAATAACCTCTGATAAATTCAATGAATAGTTTCATATATTAACATCCTTATAACATTTGTTTTCCAATTCATATGATGCCACCTAGTATACTATTGGCTAATTGATGGCCCCTTACATATAAATTCACTTTTGCATAATATTGAGGGGTCTTGACAACTGCCCCATATTGAGTGATTACTCGTTAGCACAAGAAAGCGCATTAATATTACTAGATCATATATGAAATCCAACTCAAAAAGTGCAACTTCCTTAAAATCATGAAATGAATGATGTCTTGCAGCCTTGGGAATAAATGTCTATACCCTTTATATCAGTAGTTCTCAACCTTTTACTGACTGCGAACCACTTTAGTGTTTTTACTCTGTCCGCGTACCACCGACAAAGCCCTTTTTAGGGTTGGGGAACAATGGAACTGGAAACGCTATATGGGAGTATTTTATAATGTGGCATTGAATCCACTTTTATTAGAGCTTCGTTCGAAGTTTCAGCGTATTTTTTATATGCAGTAACAACGTATTAAGTGCGCACAAAATCGCAAGATAATTCTGTTGTCTACCGCCAGAGCTGAAAAGGCTCGACCACCACTGAATTATCACAAGCCTTGGGCGTATAATGTATCAAGGCGCTATCAGGGTTTCTTGACAGTCGACCACTCCTTTTGTCGTCGATTCAATAATGCATTGTGATGTGACACAAAAAACGGGCGAAAACATGCCCCTCCTATGTCCTTTTAGGTGGAAAGTAGCGGGCGAGGGCAATCTCTATGTACAAGGACTGCTAGCGCTATAAACAGTGTTAAGCGAATAAACGATAAGAGAAAGCATTGTCTGTATATTTTAGCCAACTCAAAAGTTAATTGTGGTTCGCTTACTACAGGTTGAGAACCACTGCTTTATACAATTAACTTTGTTGGTTTTAATTTTATAAATAAATATTTTATCAGTCATGCCTGCATCCGTGTCCTTTTTTGATCACCTATTTCTCAATTTATTTTTTTCATCCGCTAAACCAACATTGTTATATTAGATCTTTATTGTTATTTTCATCGAAGGGTATGACTATTCTTGTTTTTCTCTTGATTGCACTTGTCAAGTTATTCTTAGGCCTTTCTGATAGTGATGCCCTATCTAAATAGTTCGATATTTCAGAGTTTCGAATTATATACCGGTATAAATTTAATTTTTATTTATAATCTCAATGAATTTATTTTTCTGAAAAATCATGACATTTTGCTTTGCAAAATTGATCCATATCTACAATTAATAAACATACTGAATTAGATTTTCAATAGGCTGGAAAAGCTATTCTAGCTTGCTTAAGGCGTATTCATGAAATAATATTTTCCAGCTGCATCTCAGGACAAAATTACAGAATTATGTAATTCTTTGGATGATACAGTTGAGATGTCATCAAACTCAATCATAAAAATGATCAAAGAGTTTGCTGAAGAAAGAAGGTTCGTTTTTATTATCAATCTTTTTTAATTTGAAAAAGGATGTTGCGAATAGTTTCAGCAGATAATAAATCTTATGACCTAACCATTTTTATGTTCTCGCACTGTTAATTTTTACATGAAATATGTTATAATATTAGTGATCAAGTTGACATGTATTGTTGTGATAGTTTTTCTATTGAAAACCAATACAGCCTAGTCATTACTCTATTTTTCTCAAGACGTTGGTCATGTTCTGTGTGAAAAGTCATCAGGAGACTAATGCTGTTTTGAGTCAAAATACAATTTTGGTGTGTATAAAATTAGTATATTTCGTCTTCAATCACCTTCTGTGCCACAGTCAGTTTTTACTTTTGACCATTGAGTGCCTTGGTGTTAACAAGAGAGCTTTTTTCCCATTTGTTCTCTCTCAAATTCCTTTTTATATTTGATCGCAGAAGGGGCAAACCTTGTGATGAAGTCAATTTTCTGTCACTTTGAATTTTTAACTAGGCTAACACAAACCAACTCATAAGTTAACTATTACTGTATAACTCAAACTAAAAGTGTTTTTGGCTACCGTATATGCTCGTTTTACGGCCCGGTCTTGATTAAGGGCTCGTTTGAATAGCCGCTCATGTGAACAGAACATAAAAATAAATACGGGCCGGTACTTGAATACCCGCCCGATGTAAAAGCTGATTTTTCAGTGGTAGAGAACAATAGGAAATAAGAAGCGCTTTTGTCACAAGGCTGTTGAATTTTAAGCGCCGGTAGATAACACTCACGCCTTAGGCGTCCAAGTACATAACAGATAGCATTGATTACGTAACACCATGGTTCTCAAACTGGGTGTCGTTTCAATATTGATAGGGCGTCACAAAACTTTTCTTCATTTGCGGATTTGTACCTGCGGTGCGTAGAAAAAGTCGAAATTTTTGTTATTCTCATTTGAATCATACTTGAGAACTGGAAATAACAATATAATAATTATTGTAACGATCGAAAATAACAAGCGCCCATGCTTGAATAAGGGCCGGTTTGAATAAGGGCCCGGTTAGTGAGTTGGTTGAAAAAAATATGGGCCCAGGCTACAAAACGAGCAAATACGGTATATTGTTTGGTGGATCGTGACTTAATGTGGGTGGCTTTCGCCTGTCTACTGAGTACAAATCGTGCGGTTTACTGTACGTATACAAATTGGCCATGTTTGATAAGTTGATCGCTCATATCCTTTAGTCATTTCACTGGAAGAAGTTGAAACCAGGGTGTGATGGCATCAGTTATTAAATACGGTTACAATGTGCATTGGCTATGCTAGATGAGTTGATAGTTCAGAAATTGGTCAACCTCAATCGTAGTATAATTTGGATGAGGCGATTCATTGACTACGTCATGCCTCATTTTAAAATTTCTTGTTCTATCTTTTCACTTTTTATTTTTTAAAATGGTATAGATGGGTCAGTGGCAGTGAACAGTACGTGCCAAATGACAAATATATACATTCTTGGTTCGACGCACGTAAAGTGTTACTTATAGTTTTTGATGAACTGGTATTAGAACAAAAATAACTTTTCTTTCTATCAACTGGATCATTTGTTTCAAGTTTTCTGTTAATTAAAGATGGAAGTGCTAGAGCTTGTAGTTCCCTTTTATATATTTATATGTTTCATAGACTTTGTGAGCTTGTGTGACTTCATCCACATTTCATTATGATATTTCTTCTTTGTTGTGTTTCAGGAACTCATTTTCTAGTGATGGTGACAAACTTGAAGGTATGGATAGTGATTGATATATTGTGTTGCTATGCTTTCAGTAATGTTCATATAATATTATGTTTTGTACAATTTATATCCACTATTTATTTTGAATATTCTATATTCAGTCCTCATTAAGGTAAATTTGTGAGTTTCATGAGAAAAATATAATAATTCAAATTATCTCTGTTCTGAACACTACTTTTTTTAACATCCTCGATAATTTCAATTTTTGTTCTCTAAAACAAATCTGTTGATATCATTAGTTGCCAATAAGATAACAGGCGTATATTCTGTTTCAATATATTTGTTAGATTGAAATTTAACCAATTAAATGCTATTAGTATTGAGCATGGCTTGAAATTTCCAAATGATGCAGGCCCTGAATATAGACCAAATATTATTTATGCTGGGGTAATAGGATAAGGGATGTATAAATCTGACTTCTACTAGTTTCTAAATGTCTGCCTGCCAATGATTCCAACTTTAAAAAAGGTTCAATGTTTTCAAACACGATACACTAAATCAGGGTGGTCCAAACCCCGGCCCGCGGGCCACATATGGCCCGCCGCTTCATTTTATCTGTGGCTGGGGCTGTCCAAGCGAACCAAATAATCGAATCGAATCGCAAATTATTCGAATCGTGTTTCGGCTAATTTTCGAATCGCTAAAATTAGGTACCGGACATAAAACGAAAACCACCTTTACGACATAACGCTGATATCCTGGATATTAATGTTGAAAGAGAAGTACGCATTCTCAAATATCGGACATCCAGTCGCGATATTCAATCGTTCATATGCACAAATCTCACATTAATAGTAATTGCTACCCAAGTTTGTAAAGTTTAGAAACCAACAAACAGGAAATAACTTATCCTAAAACACAATTAAAATTCAGTCGGCAATAAATTGCGCCAAGACGATGCCATACAAAACAAAAAAGATTTGGTCGCGAGAGTTACGTTAGATGACTGCAAAACGACGTTGTTTTTTAAGCAGAATGTAAAACAATCAAATTAAAAAAACGGGAGTTACGACGCCCTTAACACATTGTGTTTATTAAACTTCCCTGGTAAGTCCTTCAGTATGTACTATTATTATTTATTATTGTACTTATACACCTGTTGGAGTATTTCGGACAATTTCGAATTTAAAATAAATGAAAACCCGACATATAATAAAGACGCAAAAGTAAAATGAACATTTATTGAAAAAGTTATTATTCAAGAAAGACAACATGATCGTACAATTCCGCCAAAATTTCGATGTTCGCAAGTGAGATGAAAAATGAATACTTCCCTGTATTCGATCAATTAACCTTAGCGTCTCGTTGTTCTGCCAACCAACCTGCCGGGTGCAAAATATTTCCGTCCTGTGATATGCTCACAAATATTCTCGATATTAATATCATACCCTCGCGTATGTACTTTCTATTAGCTCTTTAGTGATCCCTTCCATCCTTGACCAAGTCATGTTTCGAATATGTGAACATTTTATTCGACCATACATGGCCGGGGGGATGTTTAAATTGTAAACAAGAGAGAAGTAAAATCAATCGCGAATTTCGTTATAACAGTTCGTTTACGAATTGTTGCGCCTGTTATTGTCGAAAATGATTACATTTTGAGGCATTTAAGCAGTAATAATTAGGGCATGACATCATCAAAATCGTCAAGTGAGATCTTGAAATTGCAAATTCCGTAAATAAAATTGTGAACTACTCGGTAACGAATTCAGCTATAATAACCGTCGGGGTATTGTTTTGTTGAAAATTATTATTAATGTGAGAGCACCAAAAACATACAGTCCATACCGATGCAACTGCAATTTATATGGCCGCACTTGGTGTGGCGCGTTTATTAATAGTGTAAAATAAATTAAACTAATATCAATTATAACCAAGCCTGTCAGCGTGTTTATTTTCTGTGGGCAAGAATCGTAAAATACCATCTTGAGACAAATTCACTTCTATTGCAAAATCTTAATTTCAGTTATTATCGTTATACAAATAACGTGTGGCAACTTTTTAATTTATCGTCGACCAAAAAACCACCCCACACTCGTCCAAACGTGTGTCGAGCTTGAACGACAGGAACATTTCATCGACGACTTTAATTAGGGAAAATATGTATTTTATTGGGAATGCAAAATAAATGTAACAAAACGCATTTTTTTGTGATATAACTTTGTATTTTCGGAAACGGGTTGCTGTGAAAGGTAAAATTTGAACTAAATTAATCGCAAAAATGTTTTATTTTAAATGTAACAAAACACATTTTGCGATATAACCTTGTATTTTCGAAAACGGGTGTCCTGAAAAGTGAAATATGATCTAAATTAATCACAAAAATGTTTTATTCAAATGTAACAAAACACATTTTCGCGATATAACCTTGTATTTTCAGAAACGGGTGTCGTGAAAAGTAAAATATGATCTAAATTAATCGCAAAAATGTTTTATTTTAAATGTAACAAAACACATTTTTCGCGATACAACTTTGTATTTTCGGATACCGGGTGTCATGAAAAGTAAAATATGATTTGAATTAACCGTAAATAATGTTTCATTCCAAATGTATCAAAACGCATTTTTTGCGATATAACTTTGTATTTTCAAAAACGGGGCGTCATGAAAAGTCTTAATCTAATGTTTTACCTATCGTCTAACTAACGTCTGGTACACATCATTTTCGGGGAGAACTCTAGCCCGCGAAACGTCATTTAATTTAAAATAGAGAATGTTTCACACATTCCAAAAATTTAAGATTGTTGCAATCGAGCAATCGGAAAATCGCCAGTAAGTCGACAGGGATTCAACCCTCCGGATTCAGTATTCTATATCCCGCCGTGTCAGAACTTTCTGAAGAATGGAACAAAGAACCCGTCAAACCGCCGCGGAAGAAGGGGAGTATTTTTTGCACTAATAATTAGGGCGTGACATTATCAAAATTGTCAAGAAACTGGTGAATTTGCAAATTCCATGAATAAAATTGTGAATTGCCTGGTAACATTTTAGCTATAATTATCGCCGGGGTATTGTTTTGTTGAAAAAACGTTGAAACTTGAGGGAATCAGTTAATATTAGCGCCTGACCTCTATTAGGCACAAAAGCACTCTAGCCCAATCTTTTTAGCATTAAGTCGCATACGTAAAATATCCTGTAAAAGAAGTGATGTTCATTAAAGTCATTTCGTCTTATGACCACGCAGAAATGCCTTTATTGTCGAATTATTCAATCACTATTTTAAATCAACATTCAGGATTGGCACAATTTCAGATTTGCGAAGTTTATCACCATAGAAAAACATGAGAAAGTTATTTGTCGTCTTATTAAATATCTGCATCACGGTATCGGCAATAATATTACCATGCGCATAAAATTGGGAGGGTAAATTTACAAATCTTGATAGGTAATATTAAAGCTAACGCAAATGTTAATTTGGGTCCTCAATGTCTTCAACAGCTGTTGCCGATGTGAACGAACGGGTAAATTCGAAATATAAAACTTCGATGTCCGCCGACCCGCAAGAATTCATATTTGTAAAAAAGAGAGGGCGGGAACATAGAACCTGGATATCGCCGCCAAAACGATCGGTGACAAGAACAATTAGCGATTACAAGGGAATTAACCAGTAAAAAGGCTTTGTTGGATTTTTTAATGTTTCCACCGACGTTCCAAAAATATATATTCGGTACCGGTACTCGTTAAATATATTCGATTCAAAAAATATTGAATTTTGCCCATCCGTACTCCCATATCAATGAGAAATAGTTGTGTAAATATCGCAAAATTCCGGAAAATACCAAGTGCTTTCAACATTGTGATTAAAATAAAATGGCACTTAATGGTTTTTTGTGAATTTGGTGATTTTGCAAATCTGTGACATGCTGCTAAAAGTTTCGTCTGATTTGAAAATCGTGCACTTTGGTCACAATTCATCCAATGTGACTATACCACTTTACTTACACTTTTATAGTAATTTTGAATTCATCGATATCATTGATAGTCACATGACCACTCTCGTTCAAAGAAACGCACTGCGTAGTATTCCAACATCTGGTTTCAAAGACGTCGTCGGGAGCGATTTTGCGGGAGAAGCGGGATCGGTGTGCTTGTATAATAATCATATTATAAACAAGAATTTTGCCGTTAATGCAAAAGCTTTATCTCCTATGTCTGCATCTCATAGGTTAGAATTCCGGTAAATATAGTTATGATATGCAGAATTGAGTTACAAAAAGACTAGTATGTTACTTATTTGTCAACTTAATACTCGCACGAAAATATTTGTCAACTTTGAATTTTTATTCCATTCAAAATCGTAAAAAAGTGCTAGTTCTCTTCAAAATCGGAAAAAAGTGCTATTTCGCAGTCTCTAAAAAAAGTTGCGAAAGTGCTTCGCAATTTTCGCAAAAAAGTGCGCTAATAGTGAACACTGCTCTTAACACTCAACAGTTTTCGAGACCCAAATTTTGGAGTACTGCAATTTTTTTGACCAGTTCATACAAGCGTGTGATCTTTCATAAATCTGAAAACATTGTATTGCAAAATACCAGCAGTAAGTAAGATGTAACTGCACATACGTTACCACAACATCGAAGGGCAGGCGTTTATTGTATAAGAGAGACAGATTTAATATTGCACAATAATATTCGATTATTCGGTTCGATTCGGCGAAAATATTCGATTCGATTCGAATCAAAAAATTATTCGATTTTGGACAGCCCTATACTGTGGCCCGCGTCACATTCGGAGAGTTCTCAGAAAATCTCATTTCGTGTTGTTTCGTCATAAAATTAATCAGAAAAATCTTTTGACATATTGTCATCACTATATTGTCACTGAATTAAAAGGTGTTATGGATAGCTGGGGAAACTAGCGAAGTTGAATGATGTGCTTGGCGGTCTAAATTGTAATCTGGCTTTTTAACTTTTTGGTCGGGAATATATGCAGACGATATAGGCATCATAGAAAACTAAAAATCGAATGCGGATTCTATTAGACGAGAATGGCTATGCCTGATAACTATGTGTTTGCATAATAAAGGTGTTTGTTTTGTATTGCACTGTTTACCTATTCTTGGCACTATTGTGGCCCGCGAACAATGCAAAAAGAATTTTGTGGCCCGCGGAGCCGACAACCTTGGACCACCCTGCTCTAAATTATTACCAATTATCAAAAATATAATTGAAAAAGATTGTCAACATAATAAACTAAATGAATATCAAATTGATTGATTTATCTTAAAATGAGATATAGCTCATTAATTGTTTGTCATTTCATTTTTTTCAGATATTTCTAACTTTCACAACACCTCTGGAAATTTAGAAGGATGTGGGGGCGATGTATCATTGTTCGAACCGTAAAAACATTTAATACTATTGTTAATTTGTAATAAGATAATGTACGAGTGTATACAAAGTGTCAGTTGTTGCATGTCGCTGACTAAATCCTTTCATGTTAAATCATAAATTTGAGGGGTTGTAGTTTGCTCATATTTACTCATATAGTCTTAAATTTGTAGGGATCTTGGGGAACTTATACTGAGAAACAAAAACTTGTCTCACTCAAACACAAATCTTCGAGCTGAAAATTCTGAACTCCGCAAACAACTTGAAGCATTTGAAGATGAGTGTGAAAATCAGCGTGGGACAATTGCAGCCTTGGATAAAGACCTCAAACAGTACATAAGCCCATTTTTATTCTATTAGTTAATATGATATTTATTCTAGTTAAACGAACCTATTTTAATTTTATGTTTTTTATTCAACTGTGTGATGATGTGATTCAATCAAGGGTCTTCAGGAACTTTTTTTCTTATAAATTTATGGGACAGAGTAATTGAAGTTATAATTTTCACAGTAATGAGTTTTACAAATTTACAAAATGTAATATTTAAATTCAGTAATGGGTTGATTGCCAAATATGATTGATATTTCAAGGCCTGGTGGTTGGAATAGTAAACCTGATTATGCTATATACCAATGTTAACTATTATTATTCCCCTTTTTCCCGAAAACTAACTGCGAGGCATTTTTTTGCCACTCAAAAACACGTTATATGCTTATACTATTACTACTAGTCTACTACTATTCACTATTATTCCACTTTTTTCAAAAACTGCGAGGCATTTTTTTGCCACTCAAAAGAAGGGTTATATGCTTATACAGGAGGTTTCTAAACTTTAAAAACTCAGGAAGCGGTCACTTTTAACTCATGACGCACGGAAACTATTCTAACTATTATCCTTCTATTTTGGGTACGTTCGCAGAAGCAAACTCCTTTGTGTCATCGTTTCTAATAGTGTAATACAGGGGTGGCCAACCTATGGCGCATGCGCCAAACGTGGCGCATTGCATGATTAGAGGTGGCGCATTGCATCTTTAACCCTTTTCATGCCAAAATTGTTATTTGCACTTGGCTTCTCCACGCCAAGCCGTTTTTTTGCGATTTACATGGTGACTTTTAATTGTACCTAAAATCTTTTCTCCTTACTCCACGTCCCCACTTACGGCTTGTTAGAATTAGAAACAACAGGCTGGACGGACTTTATGACATTCATTCTAGACTTTTAGCAAAAATTAGTAAAATTTACTGTTTTTCCCTACTGAAGTAAAAAGTTCAGAACTTCTGGAAAAATAGAAAATCGTCATTTATCAGCTTGAAACATGGATTTTCCATTGCCCAGACTTCCCAAATATCTCCCAATAACCATTGAACAACCAGTTGAATCGCCCAAGCCTAAAAAATTTATTATAAATCAACCCACAACATGCTGAAAATGACCCCTAAATACCACCTTTTTCATCCAAACTTCAAATGACCGTTGTCAACAAAAGCGAAGCGTAAAATCGCTTGCTGTGACGCAAGTACTAATCTCGAAGAAGCCTGGAGTAAAATCACGCGACGCTAGGCCAAACAGCTGATTAGCAAAGGCCAATTAGAATCGAGGGTAGAGTAGAGTAGATATTGATACCAAAGGCCTGTTGTCACAATATTACGCCTAACGACATATAGATGTGAACAAACATTTTCTGCCATGAAACTAATTAAAAGCAAAGCGAGGTCAAGACTTACAGATTTAAATTTGAAGAATGCACTGCTCCTCTCAGTAACAAACTTAACTCCAAGAATAAAAAAAACTGGCGAAAGTAAAACAGCAGCAAAAGTCTCATAAAGGCGGTACTTAAATAAAATTGATCAGTTTTATTTATTATACCTCCTTGCTTAATTTCTATTCATGTGAAGTTGTAAATTGTAAAAACTACATATACGTGTGTATATATGTGTGTGTATTATAAATTTATATAATTTCAACAAGAAGCGGACATTAGGCGTGGGAATACAAGAGATTTACGGCGCATCTGAAACATTATGTTTAAAACGTGGCGCATGGTATGTGAAAGGTTGGCCACCCCTGGTGTAATATATGGAAACGCCGCAAGTGGCATCGGCATACAAATATTTCATACTGAGTTTGCAGCATTCCATAGAATGCTATAGCATCGTTTCCTCTCCGGCAAATATCCGATACTTAGCTAATTAATAACAATTACCGTATGATCGAACAACATGATATGGTTACTGCCGACCAATTTTAAAATAGGACATGCAAAATATTCTTCGAAGACATTTGACGAAAAAAGGTTTTCCAATAAAATCATTCCACAATTAATAAAATATCTAAAACCGTTGCCAAGAAATTCAAAATTATATTTATGGAGGTTGCAGATTGATTGTAAGGAATGTTGGATGACCCTAATTATTATTACTGCACAGCAAGTCAGCAACCAACAAAATGCATCGGCAACATTATTTTAATTCAATAGCATTTAGGTAAGGAATAGGAACATACATGATAAGGCTAATACCGTGCCATCAGGTATAAGGAGATTGCGACATCTCGTGTTACGCGGAAAATGAAAGTTTGGGAAATATTGGAAAAACAATTATGCGAGGGGCGAGAGTCATTTACGCACGAAATGTGTTAGAAAGACTTATTCCGCTGTGTGTGCTATATATTATATTACACTTATACTACTATTTGAATATTCGAATTAACCGAAAAACAATTCAAATAATGTGTGACTTTATTGGACATCCCTAGTTATAACCTGTTTTACGGGGCACAAAATCATTCTGAGTACCCCTATATTTAAGAGTTAAAACGAAAGCTAGAGCACCTAACTAGGTGAAATCGATCAGGGTATTTTTCGCACTTTTTTGGACTTGCGACGCACATTTGTACTCATAATTTCCCTAGAGCAGGGGTTCCCGAACCGCAGGCCAATTACAGTTCGCGTAACGATTTAAAATGGCTCGCAGAACTTGAGTGAAATAGTTTACGTTTAACACATTGTGTGTTTCCCTTTTTCGTTCTAGATACCGCCAATTGTTACATCATTATCACAGTTTAAGCATGTGTATATTCATAACAATTCAATTATATTGGTATCTTATGTATACCTACCGGTATTATGATTATATACGGCAGTTTTAGTTATCAGGCCTATATTAAGAAATTTTAGAGATGTCAAAAAAAACGAAAACTAGAAACTGAAAATTAGCGTTTTTTGGATAAATGGCAGCGTTCTTACTTCTTTATTGAAATAAATAAAACTTCAGCGATTTGTCTTCTTTGCCAACAAACTATTTCAGTTCTGAAGTAATGCAACATTACGTGCCATTATGAGACAAATCATTTTCGAATTATGATCTGGTAACGCGTGAGCAGCGTAATTAAAAATTTAATTCATTGGTAAATTCATACAAACGTGTTCAAAAAAAGTCAAATGAAAGTGAATCTGCGTTATTGGCCAGTTATATTGTAGCCCAGAACATCGCTAAAAATAATCGCTCGTTTGGTGAAGGGGATTTTTTCAAGCATCAGTCTTTCTAACAACACAATTATGAATGTTAACAAATCAAAACTGCGGGACAGACTAACAGAAAATCACTTGAATGCGTTATCGCGAATATAGTGTACCAAATTGGAGCCAAGTTTTGAACATCTGAGATTTCGAGCCAACCCTAATTACATGTACATACAAAAATACACTAAGTTACGTTGGCATTTCATTTTTTTATATTTACGTATATACATTGGGATGTTTTTTGTCTAACAAAACAAACCATAAGTAGCCATTTATAGGAGGAGAGTATGCCAGATGAGCAAGTAACTTTATTAATTGCTATTAGTTGAAAATTCCTTGTTGAAAGTTGTGCTTGTTATTCCTCGGGTATTCAATCACCTAACTCAGGGGTCGGCAACCTACGGCCCGCGGAGCACTATAATCCGGCCCGCAGCGCTTCACTAAATTATAGTAACAAAACATCCGTTTTGACGAATATATTCTTTAGACTAAATTATATTATAACCTAACAACTATATATTTCACAATTACTTGTTTAATGAGCATATAATTTAAATATAATTAAGCAAATGGCAACAAAACGCAAAAAAGTTGATACTAAGTGCAAAAAGGTTCAATGGCGCTGAAAATATTCAAATGAAGTTTTATGAGATGCAATGAGGAACTAAATCTATATTCTATTCGAGAGATGTATCGCTGCTTGATTTTTATTATAAAAAGTACCATCCGTTCGGTTTTTCAACTTTCTAAAGATCTGTGCGGCCCGCCAATGACTTGCAACATTAATTTTGGCCCGCGAGCGACAAAAGGTTGCCGACCCCTGACCTAACTAATATAAATATTAATTTTCTTACATAACAAACTGTGATCAAGCTTGCAGCCTATTTCAGTGCCAATTATTCAAAATTTTCCCAGGCCGCTTGAGCGCGCCCTGAACCCCAGCCGTATCGCCGCGGCATTTTTTGCCGCTCCCTTTTATGGCTTGCAAATATCCTTTTTGCTTCAAATTTTGGCCCGCGGTCACATTCAACTTTGAGAACCCCTGCCTTAGAGTGAACACTGCTGTATACATATCTAGAATTGAATCTGTAATAAATTATTTTCCAACATTCATTTCACCAAGCCAACTCTGATATCTTTATGCATTTCAGCTATCAAGTAAGTAAACCAGATGTTCAGCTTCTTTTAAAAGAGAAAGATGAGATGCAAACCAGGGTACAAACCAAGGAAGAAGAAATTTCAAGTTTACGTCACAGAGAGAAAATTGTAAAAGAAGAATCAGAAGATTATCGTTTGAGATTATCTTGTTTACAAGACCAGGTTAGTTTGTAGTGGTATTTCAAATTGTATGTTTGTGTCATCTGTCAAGCTCTATATATCATCAATGTCAGCTGTATTATTTTCGTTTATCTAAAATGGTCATCGATTTTGTGGAAAATTCGAATGCAACCGAACTGCTTCTAATTTTATCCTTCAATCTTTGACAAATACTTCCTATTTGAAATATTGCCAAGCTTCATTGATTGCGGCATCAGCCAGATAAAAACAAAACACATAGCCATTATTCACAGATTTCAATATTGGTTAGCATTTTTTACCCCTACCAGTTATACAATTTGTTATTTTTTCAATTAGAAATTGTGTTGAGAATAGATTAAAGTCCATTCCATTTTAGTATGATGGTGTTTCCGTCATTCTTGATCAACTAAGAAAAGAGAACATGAAAATGGAGCAAGAGAATATTGCTGTAAAGGTTGTAGCACTGTTTTATGTTCATATTTTATGACTCAGGATGTGAGACAGTAAATGTAAATGACCTGCTATATGCGTGTACAGCAACCTTTTCCCATCCACGTACCATTCCAAGTTTTTTTGCAGCACTCGCGTGCTACCTACATGAATTTTACGATTAATTTTCTCCAACTTCTTATGACATCATAACCATGCATTTGATTTATGTACGATTTTACATATGGATAGGTAAATTAGCCAACAATATGCAATGTTTTAACGAATTTCAGTTTTTATCTCATCTTTAAAATTTTTTCTTTTTTGACAGAGCAATTGTGACAGTTTTCAACTCTCATTGGAAAATAAGGATGAGCAGTTGGTATTGGTGAGAAACTGAATTTTGTTTCAGCTTGGACATGACAACTTGAAATACTTCCAGTCCATAAAAATAATGCAAAACTGAGGCCTGATATTTCCTATGATGTGACCTGCCTCCCTTAACCATAGATTTTATTCAAAACTTTCATTGAACTTCCATCAATTGTTGTCTCAGTATATTAATCGAAATCATGTCACTTGGTATCGTTTTCAGCACTTCATGTTTTCAGCAAAAACACTTGGTTTGAAATTAAGGGCGATTATTTGAAGATAATTATGCACAATTATATGGAAGAACTATTTCCAATAGTGAAAAATTCTTATTGTGGCGCTTGCATAATTACTAGTCCATTTTTTTCAAAATCCACAGAGTTTGTGCAGCACAATGGCCAAAGGGCCCTAGGGGCCGGAAGAAAATAGAACAATAAACAAAAGTAGTGGCTCTTTTGGACACTTTCAACTTCTATCTACTGATAGTTTGAAAATGAAGGGTCTGTTATCTAAAAATAAAAAAAATTTGTCCCAACAACAATTACATACAACTATGCACATTTCACAGTCCCTCACACTGGCAGAAAATAAACTAACAATATCGAAGATAGAGTGGAATTTTATATTTCTACTGTTAATTTCTCTTTACTACAGAAAACTAAAGAATGCTCTCAACTAACTGATAAGATTCAAGACTTGGAAGTAACGATTAAGGTTCCGTATTTACATAGAAACTTGCATAGAATGACTTTCCTGTCACTGTTCATGATTACATATTTTTTAAATTTAGGATTTACAGGAAGAGAAAGAAGCCTTGTCTGTGCAAGTACGAGAAATGCAGTTTGAATATTCAATGTAAGGTTGTGTGCAATGATTTTATCATACGAATATATCAGCTGTTTGTACATACATATACCCAATATCTGGTACCGGTATTTCTAATGTAGCCTGCCACTGTCCAGGATTGTTTTTAGAATCAAAATTTGTCTTTAATATTTGATATCAAGAATTAAGTTTTCAGTTCGTATTTTTCTTTTGGAAAAATGGTTATTCGACAAACTGATGTTTTTCTCAACTTACTCATTATCTTACATGAATTTATTTATGTGAAATAATTGTTTTATCAGTTTTTAATGTCCTCACTCTGTACAAGGAGATACTGATTTTTACATGCACCACGCCCTCTATGGTTCAGCATTGCCTATCCAATTTATTACACTGTGGGTTAAGTGTTGGGAATGCGGTTTGAACACCATTTCTTCAACCTGCGATGCCACCCACTATCATAGTAGATCATTGCGCCCAAATTTCATTCTTTCTACTTGTTTCAGTTGCCAAAAAGCTGTAACAGGGTCTGCTCCAGGAACACCTGTTCGTATCAGCATTCAACATGAACTCAATCAAGCTGATGATGTATGCTGTTTTGATATTATTTTTTATGAATTGTTTAATGTAGCCTACACTCTGTATAAGACACTAGACTAGCATTGAAACAGTAGCTGCAGGGATGGCTTAAAATTTTACTTTAATGCGACATTCATTCACACTTAAAGTGAGTTTAGGATATATATTTTACGGTGTTACGGGATTGCTTAAAATTTTACTTTAATGCGACATTCATTCACACTTAAAGTGAGTTTAGGATATATATTTTACGGTGTTACCCTCTGTATAAAGCATTAAACTAGCATTGAAACAGCAGTTGCAGGAATTGCTTGAAATTTTATATACATGTGAGATTCATACATTTATTAAGACATACTGGTGTTCCTAATATTGATAAATCAAAACATTGTTTTGACACAAACTTTTATGTGACAATGTTTGACATGCTTGTTCATTGTGCCATCGCTAGATCATCAAATTATGTGAAATTCAATAATCTTTAAAATTGGAGTAACTTTTTTCATTCAGTGTATTGGAGAAAATGAATACCCTTCACCTATATGTGGAACAAACTATGTGAAAGGAACCAATAAACAGCTGAATTCTCCACTAACAGAGGTATTATATGGAATATAGAGAATTTATCAGTGACAAAGCTATTTTTTTGCAGTTTTTTTGATGTACCGGTAACGCTTGTAATATTCATGTAAGTTCAAATTGTCATTTAAATATTTTGGTATGTAAGATTTTTTGGATTCACATATTTAAAATGACTTTTTTGTCATAAGTATATGCTGCACAAAGATATCCTGATTTTGTCACGTCTAATAGCTTTTGCTATTTATGTATTGACATTTCATTCTGTATCTTATGTTTTTTTGCATTATATTATTGCCTTTAAAAAAACTTTCTGATGTTTAATTTAATTGTCTGAGTCCTAGGCATTAATTTACCATTGGGTCAGTTTTTGGATTACTCTGATTTATAGCCTAAAGCAGGGATCGGCAACCTTTTGTCGCTCGTGGGCCAAAATTAAGGGTTGCAAGTCATTGGCGGGCCACACATATTTTTTGAAAGCCTATAATAGTATAATAAATTATAATAAAAATCAAGCAGTGATACATCTCTCGAATAGAATATAGATTTATTTCCTCATTGCATTGCATCCCAAAAAATCCCATTTGAATATTTTCGGCGCCATTGAACCCTTTGCACTTAGCATCAACTTTGCTGCGTTTTGTTGCCATTTGTCTAATTTTAATTAAATTATAGGCTCATTAAACGATTAATTGTGAATTTTATATTAGTTAGATTATAATATAAATTAGTCTACACGTGTCTCACAATGAATTCTGTTACGTAAAGAATAGAATCGTCATAACAATTGTTCTGTTACCATCCGGCCCGCTGGCCGTAGGTTGCTGACCCCTGACCTAAAGTATCACTTTTTGAGAAACCTTTCGATAATTCATTTTATCTTGCAACTTTTAAATAAACGATTCAGTCTTTTTCATAAAATACTTCTCAGAATCTACGAAAAGGTCTTCTATCCTACATTATGCAAACCCCTCCATCTCCTCGACAGCAGCAAGATTGTAGAAGCTCATGTAAGTATTGCGTTTTTAATTAGTTGAATCTCCAATATTTCCTTTCGAAAATCTGTGATAAAATCCCAATATTTTCCAAGAAGGTGGAATTTAACTGGTTTATTCCATAGTGCTTGGGTCTGAGTAATATCATTGACGAATTTGCCAGCTCAACCATCTGGCCACAGGGATGTCTAAAATGAAATAATTCGCTATTTCAATCACACAATGTTTTGATGGTTTCCTATTGTTTATAGTTCTCAGATTTGAATGAAAGTGGTTTTGGATCTTCTGTTAGACCTAAATTGATAATTTTTCAAAGTGTATATTTTACTTCATATTTCTGCCATATATGTCTGACAGCAATTATACATTTTTCATTTTATTTATTGCTACAGCGAAACCGGAGTCTTACATGAGTGATAGTTCAAGCCAGACAAATGAGGTTTTTTTGAGCAATGACTATGTTCAAACCATCAAAAAGGAATTGTATGAATTTGCTGCTCAAACTGAGAGTAAGAAGGTCATTGAAATGTATACACAGACAGAAATGGAAAATTCTAGAAATGTAAGCACAATTTAGAAGAATCCTTTTTAAAACTGTAACTCTTCTGGTGCTTGACTGGTTTTATGTATGTGAAATGGGAACAAACTTGCTTTTCGGAGACTTATGAATATGTTTGTACTATATTCTCTTTTGACATCATAAACTGCTACTAGGAACTTCATTCTGATTATGAATTAGTTCATATACCTTCGATTTTGTTTACTTATGAGATAGGCTATATATACGAAACTTAAGCAGTGCCCTCCCCTCTCACAAAATTTTCGGAAGACTGAACAATACATGCGATTGTTTCTGTCAGCGTGATATGATTATTTACACTGTGAACATCTTGATATTGGTTTCACAAATTCTCCCCATCTCACACTTATCTGCGAGTTCTCTTGCAATTCTCAGGAGTGTCTGTCGATTTATGTAAATCTTGTGATTGTAGGACATCAATAATTAGTTTTCAGATCATCAATTATGTAAACCACCCAGCGACCACGAGTCTATCAATCATTTTACCAATACTTGCATTTGCATCCCACAGACGGAGCTAAAAGACTTTTGATTGAATTATTTTATTCAGGACCTAACATCAATTGAACGAGAAGATAGAATGTTTGAAGAGCAATCATCTTTGATTGAAGGATGTTACAAAGGTTTGATTGTCATGATCTTTGATTGTTATGAAACAACAAATTTGTATCATTTTTATTTCTAAATGTTGACTTTCACAGTAATCAAAATACCGGAAAGACATTATTTTCCCCAGGTCTGAGATCCCACTGCATAATTGGCTTGAAGTCTTGTTGAGCACGATAGTGTAACCACATCAGTGAAATATTCAAAATTAAAATCTGAAAATTGTCATAATTTTCATTTTGGGCTTTTCCAGATATGTATTTATGAATTGATTTATTTAGTGGGACTGACCATTTCTATACATCATTTTAATGATTTATATTTGTTCACAGACCAGATTGTCGCATTTCAACAGGATATTGAAGATTTAAAATTATCCTTGGATAGAGAGAAAAACAAATCCCAGTATCTCACAACACAGTTATGTTAATCTTTTTTTTTATCACAACCTACAAACTGTAACAAGATGAAAAGCAAAATAAAATTATCATATTTGTCCAGAAGTTGACCAGTTTGAATTAATCAGTCCATATGAAGTGAAAAACTGACAGCTTGTAATAAATAAGAAAAATGGAATAAAATTATGGTCTAACCTGGTACACATACTACGTTTCGGTGTGGGCCATCTTGGTTCACATACTACAGGAGTACCAAATAAATTTGAATGAATGAATTCCCTAGTTTCCTTCCCACTGATTGGAGGAGTTGCAAGTGACCACTGTCATGCCGAGAGCTGTGAACAGGTGGAAATCAGTGAAAAGCGGTTGACATCATACTTAAAACATTTCAATACTGCTGGGGAACCAGATCGGTGGAAATGAAATTTCATTCCATTTTATTAATATTAGGTTGGAGCAAACAGAGCCAAGATTTACAAATTACAAGAAACATTAGGAAAAGAGCAAGAAAAAGTCACAGAACTGGCAAACATTAATGTCAAATTATGTTCAAGCAAACTGGATATGTGGTAAGGAATTATAAATATTGAATAAGTAGTTCTATTATAATAGATAATTATCTGTGTATTCTAACTAAATCGAGGAAACCCTAAGCTGAATTAAGCTTTTTTGTGTGGTATTTTGACAAAGGCACTTCATAAACGGTATTGTTACGTAAGGAGCTTCTGTGTCCAAAGAAGGGACGTAATTATATCATCAGATTGATATTACACCAGGAGTGGGGTGGTTGGCATGTGAGTTTTATCCTGTATTGCCAATTTAGTTTAACCACTTTCATTCAGAAATCATATTTTGGATATTTGAGCAAGACAATATTTGATTGTGTAGCTGTTGCTGGTCTGTATTTATAATAGTATATTTAGTTTTTAGTTTATATTAGTTATATTAGTTTTAGTTTATAGTATATTTAGTTTATTTATATTTATATACTATTTTCCCTGGGTTCTATTTTTGGCCATCAACAGTTTATCAGTGTTGAAATTTTGTAAATTTTCCACAGGTGGAATGATAACCATACCCCTGATGATGATAGCAAAGGTTAGATATGACATTCTCAAATAATTGCAATATTTATTTGTTAGGTTATATTCAATATGACACAGGAACTGGCACTCTATCATATAAAATTTCAAATGTAGTTATATATATTTTATAACAATATACAATAAATACCACTTACAATTGTGGGCTGCACGTTACCGGAATAATATGTACTTCATTTTATACATAATTGTTAACTGTTTTTTAATTACTTACAGTTATACAAGAGGAGAAGTCCGAATCAGTAAGCTGATTTATGTTTAATAATTACCTATAATTTCACTTAAATATTCCCCTTCCTATTTAATATCTGACATATTTTTCTCTGTTTTACAGCATATTTCTCAGTTGATAGGTAAGATTTGAAGGTAAATTGCATGAAGATGAATTATCATGCTATTAATGTAAATTTTATGCCATATTTTTAGATGCCTTATCACTGGCTGGTACAACTGTGAGGAAGATTCCAAATTTTGATTCTGATTTGCTTCATGGACAGGATATCTCCCATGTTGAATATACAATGGAAGTATGCAATAGTTTTTATTTGTAAATTGACCTATTACACTCTGGGTAAGGTGGAGCAAAGTTTGAACTTGATTCTGTTACTCTTTGGTTTTAAATTTGGTTTTCTGTAATGAGGTAACTTGCTGCTAGTGAGAACCTGTGAAATTTTGAATCACATCACTTCTCATGATCATACTTTGTACGGCCAAAACCAAATAATTCTTTATTCTGCATACATTCTGAAAATATATTTTCATATGGAATACCGGTATATTTTGAATTAGCTATGTTGAATGGTTGCAATTTTACAAATTGCTATGTATTCATAGAAGTATCACAGTACGGAGAAAATAAACATTGTCGTTATGTTTTTTTTCTACTGATATCAGAAATTGAAAGACGCCTATTTTTAGTATAATGGTTTGATGCCAAATGCTCAAGAAGAGCTTAAAACTATTCCCGAAATCAACAATTTGCTATACCTAGTTTTAAATTTATTTGAATATTGATTTGTTTGGGACAACTCTGATCTTGATTTACCATGGTCAGTTTCACGAGTCTAATCACTCGTTTTATAAAGTCTTTTCTATAAATATGTTTATCAGGGTGGTTCCAAAGCCTGGGAGCAAATTTCTTTGGCAAGTCAAGCGGATAGAACAACATTTCCCGGGAGGTCTTCTATACTAAATACATGTAAAGAGGTTATAGAACAAGCAATTGAGAAGGTAATACTAATGAGGATCCTAAGTATTTAATTTCAATACGAGTTTTACTTCCTATTTATCTATAACAAAATATGCAAACAACAATCTATATGATTGTTATACAAGTTTTCTGAAACACTTGTTGCTACTCCCTCCCAATGAACTTTTCCTGACTTAAGTTTTTAAAAAAGTCATGTGCCATGTTTCTTATTGACATGTTAAGATTTATTATGTTTTATTTACGCAATCTTCATTTTGACCCAACAGGGTCATCACTAGCTCAATAAAAAATGAGCATGGTATGCCTTCGCTCAGGGGCCAGCCAGGAGGGGAGGGGTTTGAGGCCAAACTTGGGATAATGATTGGGATTCTATGGCAGATAGTGGGGAATTTATATCGATGCTATCCTAAATATAATCAGAGTGGCAGCACTGTTTTGGAGTGGAGTCAGTGTTGAAAGACAAGATCAAATTTGACAAATTCGCCATAGATTATTATATTCACGGATTGTCGTGGTATTTGTGCTCTTATGCGGCGATGCAACCACGAGTTGCATTGAGTACATTAATATGGCACAACATTTCAAAGGTTTGTATCGGTTCATGGATTGGATATTCTGTGCAACAGAAAACTTATCATCAGCCAAAATAGTCAGATCTTTTAACTCAAACGCCGTGGTGCTGAATATGTATTTTTGCACCTCTTCTTCCCTTTGTGAGTTTCTACTGCGCCCCAAGCAACATCACATCCTCGATTATGACCTGTTTTTAAAAGATTATCTAATGTCAAAGAGATTCTTATATGAAAGTGGTTTTTCCATATCCATTTGATATTTTTTTAGTCATTTTTGGTTATTTTTATAGGGATTGAAAATGGTTCTAGTTCAAAACTTTGAGATCACTTGATGACCAAAACCAAATAATCTTGTATTTCAGATACATTATCAAACAATAATTTGAATATGAAATATCCACTGTATTATAAATTGAATTATGTTTAACAGAGTCTGGATTTGGTGAGACGGGAAATTAAGATACAAAGAGGGATTTATTCCCTCGGATCTACATTTTTTTAGTTATAGTAATTAGATAAAGTGATCTTTTGTCTCACTATAGGGGAGATGACATAAGAAGACAAATTTTACTAGTTTTCATTTGTATTAAAGATTTCTTTATTGATCTGATGTAATTACTTTAAAATTGTTTGTTTGAATTAGAACTTTATTCTCTGTTTTGGAATTCGACTAGATTGTAATTGTTTGTGCAAATCATTTTCCTTTGTCTTTAGAAAGTCGAATTGCTTCTTGAAATGTTGTGTGAGATTGTCTTTTATGATGATCATTTGGATTATGATGAATCGAAACGGAGGTTGAACTATTCATTCAGCAGTCAACTAATATCATTACAAAATTTAACCACCAAGTTGGGCAAAGTCAATCATGACATTGGAGCCAGAGAACAAGAATATAAAATGACTTCGGTTTTAAAGGTGAATCATTGGATATCATTTTGGAGTCTCAGTTCTTACCACTTCATGGCAGCTCCTGCTACGAACGAACCGGATCGTTTCTTGCCATGGTTTTATGGCGCTATTCAGTAATCAGTATTACCGGTATATTCACAAAGTCATGAACCAGATTTTAGTTTATCATGCTGAATTATATCTACTTAAACCTGAAACCTAACCCCAAATCCATCAAACCTGTATCCATAAGAAAAATGTTCCAACTTACCCAATATTTGTCACCATCGGCGGCTCTACCATTGCAGCCGACATGCCTGGGTTACAGCAGCAAAACTTTTCCCCGCCATTGGTTTTCAATTTGCTGCCATGGTACCGGCATCTCGACATTGGTTTGGGAATCCTGTCATGGTTTTGCGGTAGCTCCAGACGCCACAAAATACTTAACGCTGCACTTGTCTTTTTTGCAAGTTTTGAACCTCTCTTCTCCTCTGAATTTATAAAACTACATCAACTGAAGAGATCCAGTTCATAATAAGTGATATGATGATGTAATATTGTTGCAGGTGTTATCAAACAGGCTTTCTAGCTTGAAGAAAAAGTATGAAGAGTCTCGAGCAAAGTTGTGTCAATTGTTCCATATTTCTCTTCATTGTCAGTGTTTCTCAGCTCTCAATATGCTTTCCGTGCTCAAAGATATAGAACATGATGATGAGGTAGTGAGTTCAATTCTATTATGTAGAATGGATATTGTTAGTGATTGTTTTTTCCTATACTTTTTAAGGATGCTATGTGGACCAATGGATCATATTTTTCAATTTATCTTCAAACATCGTCTGTATTACTGTACAATCACTTAGAACGGTCTCACCTAGTAGGCTATTATTTAATTTTATTTATTTCTCACAAATATATGGATGTATTAGTCTTTTGTTCTTGGTAAACATATTACGCCATTTATGCACTTTTAGTTGAGATTGGTTTGGATTTTTTATTTTTATTTTCGAGTGGAAAGCCTATTAGGCAACTGCGACTTGATGTTGTGGTGAACCGTGGACTCACCCACTCTTTACCAGGACTAGATCCCACTCTATCTCTCTTTTACACAGTGGGGAGCAACTATCAGCCAGTCAATATCTATTGGTTATGGGATTTTCGTTTTGGTATTTCTGTCCTAATTTTGTATGTTTTTAGATCTTTGAAAAAAATGTCCAACTACACCAAAAACGTATCAAGGAGATTGTCAACTTGGATGGACCTGTCGTTCAAAATCAGGTATTGATAAGTTGTGAAAATCATTTTTTTGCTCATTGCATGAAAATATATGCTGATATTCTTCTTTTCTCAGATCTTACAGCTCCAGCAGAAGTTCAATCAATTGGATGACAGGTACTGGTGTTATGCAAAGATATGTTCATTTAACATAATATTTGTTTTCGCATTATGATTTTTTTAGCATGTTTTTCTTTTCAAGTTATATGATAGCTGATTAGCTGCCTGTCTTTAATCAAAACTACTTACTAAGGCTGTTAAATTTTGTGACTCGTATATCTCATTTTTTTCTAAGTATATGTTTTGTGATTAGGAAAATATGGCAACGTTATATTCACTAGTCTTTACTCTCTTCAGTTTAACTCAAGTTTTTGGAAGAAATTTGCCAGCCAGAAAGTGGTTGATGATGATTTTGTTCGTCTTCACTGCATACTTCACGTTTCAATGGGAGGATTATCATGTTCCACCGATTGTGTGAAAATTTTTCAAAAGGGATTGGTATCCTTCTAATTAATTGATAAATTTCGGAACTATATTTAGGTCACTGATTGCATAGGCCATGTAAAGTGATATAGCTCCACTTTTCTGAATGATTGACTTTAATGGGTTACGTTACATAAATGTATTGAGGGTCACAAAATCCCTGCTCCCTCCTCTAGACATAGGTTCTAGGTTGCGAAAATCAAGATTTGAATTGGTAGCTGTTAAAAACTCTTGATTGTGTATTGCGCTTGAATGGGTCCTCGGCATGTCGACGCATTTATTTGAATTCACGCATCCGACAAATATGTCATTTGTTGAATTTTCAGCCTCTTATTTTTCAAGTTCAATTTACTTTACTTATAGTTTATTCTTTTGTTTTTGAATGTTTGTTTGAGTGACAACTAGTTTCACGTATCACAGATATATTTATTCGCACAGGATATTGCTAACTTGGTATTTATTGTTTTTCTTGCAAAATTTATTCAAGAGGAATTAAAATTCTTTGTATTGAATGGGATTGTGTTGTTTTAAGAGAGGAGATTTAATTGAGGTATGCTGTAATCATGTAATGTCTTTAATTTGTTTTGATTTTATGCGATTACTCTCAGAAGTCTGACCATGAACGGATTGAATTCAAGGATGTGCGCATATTGCGCACATCATTCAAAGCTTTCGACTGACTTCCAGCGCAATAGACGCGTCCTTTTGATTATTCCTCGAAAAATACCTATACGCAGAATTGAATTTCCCAATTATTGAAACTCTGACTAGGAACGATAATTAGCGCACATTCGGCGAACAAATGACAATATATATATTTACAAGCTTTTATAAAATAATGTGAACCCGGAAAAGGCTATGCGATTAAATCCGAAGAATGTTACATTCGTGAGGAACAATGGGGCTTGAAAAAAATATTGTTTACCTAATGCAATATTGTTTTCCTATTATGCAAACTCTAGCTCAGTGGTCCGCGATTAAATTAGGATTTTAGGAAAATATTTGCAGTTCAGTATCGTTTTTTTGTAATACGATCGAACAGTCGCTGCCTATGACAATGTGACAATAGCCTACTAAAACTATTTTGATTTATCTCCCGTAGACCTATTGTGACAAATACGAGTTATGACATGACAATGCTAAATACGAGAACGCAGCCACAGAGATCAGTTTTGGTGTGCCATTTTGCCGTCGTACCCAAAAGTATCGATGGAAGCATTACGTGTTATCGTTCCATTCGCCCCCACATACCTTTGTGGAAGTAGATTTTCTGCTCTCGTTCATATCAAATCAAAGGCTCGTAACCAACTAAACGTCGAAGACGATATGCGTCTATCGTTATCAAAAACACGACTACGTATTTCAAGACTTGCATCTGATATGCAACAGCAGAAATCACATTAAGTGTATTCGACTTGACAAAATAATTGAAAATGTCCACTAGTTTGATGTTATTCTTGACTTGGTTGAATCTGTATGAAACATTAGATTGCTGTTTAAGCTATACTTTTAAGCCTAACTTTTGAGGGGTCCGCAACCACATTGAGAGCACCAGAAGGGTCCGCAAAGACAAAAAGGTTGGAAACCACTGCTCTAGCTTCTATAACAGTGTTTCGCAGAGTTTATTTAATTGCAGGCCCCCAAAATTATCAAACCGAAAACACGAGGAACATAACACCATAGTGCTATTCAGACATATATATATAAGTTAGCTGCCACTCCTAACGTGCGCAACAAAATTAGAGTACTATTTTATCTCATACTCACAACTACTTTTTTTTTTTTTTTTTTTCTTTTTTTATTCTTTTTGGTCTCTGACAGAGACACCAAAAAGTTTTTATTTGTATTAGTATTTGTCGTGTCCCACGTGTGGCGGTAATAAAGGTATGAAATTGCACTGCCGACCCCTGTTTCAAACTACCTGTTAGCTGCCACTCCTAACCTTAAGTATATTTAGCGATTTGAAGTAATGGTCTACACTTTCATACCTTTTTTTCTCAAAGACATTTCTTAAAAAATTATTACAAGTAGGCTACTTTGCAATTTTGAGACTAGTGTTTTGTTTCCATAGAGCCAAACTGAGTAACAGTACCTGATGTGGCTGAGTAATAATGATTGAAACATTGCTAGTAAAGCCAATTGATTGACACACTGGGAAACCTTGGCAGCAATTGCCAAATTTCTTTTTGTTTTACCAATAACATGTGTAGTTTGTGATTTCCAAGATAGATTTTCATCAAAGATAACTCCCAAGAATTTTGTTTCACTCACTCTTTCAATTTCTTTGCCATTGAGTGATAAAGATTTCGAGAAATTCAAATTTTTATGCTTACTAGGATGGAATAGAACATGGTCTTGTTGGCATTAAGAGATAGTTTATTAACTAGCATTCAACTGGGAATGTTGGCTAGTTCTCGGTTCGCAACTGTAAATAGATCTTCTAGATTTTTCCCACAGAGAATCAAATCTGTGTCATCAGCAAACATGATTGACTCAGATGAGTCCAGACACCTAGGCATGTCGTTTATATAAGCTAGGAAGAATGATGAGCCAGGTTAAGACCATTGAGGAACTCCGTGCTTCATGACACAAATATTAGTAGAAAATGAATTGTCATATTGTACGACTTGCTTTCTGTCATACAGGTAGCTCCGGATCCAATTGAGTGGAATCCCTCTTATTCCATTGTGATAGAGCTTACTTAGAAGGATAGAATGGTCGATGGTGCCAAAAACTTTAGAAATATCAATAAATATTCCAATAGCATCTTGCTTTCTTTCAAACGCCTTTGTTAATTTATGTACCAAGATATTAGCAGCCGTAGCAGTGGAGTGTTGCTTGCGGAAACCAAACTGATGCGAATACAGAATATTAGTGCTTTCAAAATAATTTGACATCCTATTATACATTATTTTTTCAAGGATTTTGGAAAACGATGGAAGAAGACTGATAGGCCTATAGTTTTCATAATAAGAAACATTACTCTTTTTCAAAAGAGGGAGAACTTTGGCCGTCTTAAAACTTTCAATAAATAGTCGAGTCTAGGGGATAGTGAGAGGTTGAATATATATATGTCAGGATATCAATAATATGTTCTGGAATATATTTCAAAATTTTGAATGGAATACCATCAATTCCAAAGCTGGACTTTGGCTTCAATTCGTTTATGATGTTTTTGATTTCTAATGATGTGGTTGGCCTTAAAAACATAGATGAGTATTCTTGCTTCCCAAGATATGATAAGTGATTTTTATCACAGCTAGCTGGTTGCGGCATATTGTCAAGCAAGCTTTGTGCCACCAATGACATTAAACAACATGATGCGCAACTCAGGCATTTTTGGCCGAAGATCGTATTCGATAGCACGCTCCAATGCACATACTTGACGAGACGAAAACGAGCGGATGTGTGCTGCTTTCAAGGCATAGCACTAATGGTGTTCGTTCCTGCTTTGACAGTTGTTGTCGATTTTAATGATATATTGGAAAATTGAAGGTAAAAAGAAATCGGAAAAAAGTAAGGTAAATACTATTGTTGTATATCACACCCGGGCATTGCACTGTTAAGTACATGTGGGAAAGCCAGCTTTTGTCAAATACTACGAAGTTATTAAATCAGTACGGTACGTAGTTGCCCATTTGCCGAAATTGCATATTTACTTACCCCATACGGTTTCAAATAGTTCATGCACCTCCAATTAGATTATTTTTAATCAGTGAGGATATATACTCATTGCTGTAACATACTATTGCTCATTCACTTTTATTTGCGTATTTAATCAAAGGGTTAACAAGTTCACCTAACATTTCACTCATACCGGTCTATATTGTATAGTAATTTTCTGACTAAACCCCTTTATTAGTTGGTTTATATACCAAATTCAGTAAAACATATTTTACATAAAACATGATATATTGGATTTATTAGCTTTTCCAATCATATAGACTGCTTTATTTATTCTTAACGAACATTATTAAATCTCCTCTCTTTCTTTAGATGTAAAAGTTGTGGGAAAACCTGTCTAAGCATTGTGGGACTCCTGCAGCACAAGAGGCAATAGCAAAAATAGAAAGTATATCAATCAAGTAATTAAGCCGACATAAAGCAAAACTTTCAACTATTCGTCCAACCTCAATTTCCTATTATTTATTCACAGGACAACTGTAGCAGAAGGGGAGATATCAGAAGTCTGGCGACATATCAGTGACAGTGTGATTCCAATAAATACAATCAGAATACTCCATAAATGTTTGCAATAGAAGAACAACCTATGGAGACATGCAAAGACATTTGACCCTCCGGTAGAGTTGTGTATGGCCCCTACATCCTGCAGGGCTTGAGGAAAATAACTAAAAATTCCAAAGCGTAAGATTGCATAAGCGGTCTTATTCGTAAAAAGGCACAAAACATGCCAGACATACTTTAAACAGCTTTGGAAAATGAGGATTATGGGTCACTCACTACACCTGTGTTATATTTGATTCATCAACTTTTGGTAGTAGGCCTACTAAAGAAGAAATTCAGGAAAGGGTATAATCATGATTCATGATAAAATACTGTTTTATATTTAGAACAACTTCAATCTAGACCAGGGATATCAAACTCGCGGCCCCGGAGAACTTCCAGTGCGGCCCTCGAACGCTTAACAATAATTGTAATTGTATTTTGGAGTTTTTTTTATCTAAGTGTAATAGATTTTTCAACCCTTTTAAAGTGAAATTGAATATTCACACAAAAAGCAATTTACTGAAAGTAGTTTTGGAAAATTAATTTTTTTGTTCACATTTTGACCCAATTAAGAATACACATCAAGCTAGCAAAAGAATACTTGAATAAAACACTTGAGTGAATAAATTGAACGCAAAGTACATGAAGAAGGTGGCATTTTCGAAGAAAATGGGAGTTGCAATATTTCTGCATTTCACAAAATTTTGAAGCACATTGTTCAATTTGTCATATTTTCATCAGTACAATAAAAAAACACAATAAGCTCAGCAGTCAATATGACAATTTCGAAGACCAACTTCGAACAGAAAATTACCATGTGTTTGTATATTAATATAAATATACAACGAATTAGTTACTAAAAATTAATATCAATAATAATTCAAGCAATCCTATGCCATGCAATGTGGCGCGAAATGTCGTGTCGAAAATATCTGTCATTTGTTTTTTTACTGATCTATTCATGAAATGATAAAAGAAACTTTTTTGCATTACTGGAATTAATTAAACATTCGCAAAGATCCAGATTAACCCATGATCATGTGACCTCGTTAGTTAGAGTTGGTACTATAAAATCATTTCAGCCTTGCCTTAGTATGCTGGTGACACAAAAAAGATGCCAAACGTCAGGACAAATGTAATTAAAAAAACATTGAGTTTATACTGTAGTATTTTTGTTAATTTCAAATCCATGTATTTAAATTAAGTCATTTTTAGTGTATGTATTATTCTTTCCTTATCCAAAGCTTGTTCAAAAATGATTTTGATGGTTGTATAAAGAATTTTATGATTTTTTGTAATAAATACAGTAACTTGCAATAATAGTGGAATGCAAATATTAATATGTAATTGCATTTGAAATCAAAGAAAATAATAAAACTTAATCCAACTGTTTAGTTGCATCACAATATATGTCACAAACTAAAACTATCTGAAAAATATCTTTCAAGTATACATTATAAAAAAGTGTTTTTGGCCCTTTTTACAATTTCCAAAATGCAATGCGGCTCTCAAAAACCCTTGAGTTTGACACCACTGATCTATTCTAGACGATTCAAGCATTGCTTTGGGAAATAATATCACTGCAATTAAATTGAAAAAAATCTCGCTATATTGAATACAAAATCGTTGCTATCATAAAGGTAAACCAATTCAGCCACTCGGAATATATTGGCCTTCACAAAGCAATGGAGGCAAAATTGAGAGTTCATGAGCTATGAACTTATGTTCTTTTCTTTGTCTTGAACTTTATATACTCCACAGCCCCTATTAATTTTTTTTTAATTTTGATTACCATGTGATGGTCATACATATTTTTAACTTGTATTTTCTGTCATGATGTATTATCTCAATGTGTCAAACTTTTAATTAGTGTGCATATTTTGCTTCCAGATGACATAAATGTACAGTATTGCCTTGTTTATTACCTCAGCTTGGAGTATTGACAAGAAAAAGGTGCCCGTAAATTACGTAAAAAAAATTTTTAACTCTTTGTTATAATCAGAATTCACAATTAATAGGAATCATAAACAGCCAACAATCAATGAGAATTATATGCCAAATCCCTCAGAATAAATTTGTCTTCTAAAATCGGAGGAAGGCAAAACATATAGGTAGTTTCCATTCATACAAGTCTTTCAAGAAGACTTGCTCGAGCCAAACTAAATGAGCATCGTCAGATGATCGGTAAGTGTGCAAGTTGAATCAGCCCTGCAACCTCCTACATAGAAGATAATATTAATTAGTGGGCTATGAACTAAATTCCTAAATTTAGACACAAACCTATCTACGAGGCATTATGTACCAGCAATGTTACCTACGGTTAACTAAATATGTAATATATATGTCTAATAAATTAACCTACTAAAGCATGTTCGATAGGTGCAAACTTTGTGTTATGGAATTGTATCACAGCACCGTTAAGAGAAGTAAAAACAGTTTTGCATGACACTATCTTTAAATGTAATTTCAATGTTTTAAGCGCAAACATTAAAATTACTAACTTTGTCATTATCTGCAAAATGTTCTACACAAATCTTTACGCTATCGCGTTTGTAATCTTCTCTGATAAAAAAAACGTTTATGATGTCCAGAATTACTCTTTACAGCTTGTCTGCCATTCCAGCTTCCCAAGTGAGCAAAACTTCTTAGATATAGAGATTATTTTCTTTCGTTACAGGCGCAAAAAGGCAGGCACTACACGTAAAGTAGACGCCGAGTAGCAAAAGCGAGCGGAAAACGGTCGCGAAAGGCGACGAGAAATATGTGCATTGGAGCGTATCATGAAATACAATCTTTCGCATGTAGTCTTATGGTGTGACGTCAGAGTTGCCTATCATGTTGTTTAATGTCATTGGTGCCACTTGGGAAAAGTGTTCATTGAATTTATTTGCAATTTGCGTACTACTGCATTCGAGTCCAACAGAAGGGCAAGAACTGGTTTTATTTTACCGATTAGTTCATTAATTATTCTCCACACTGTCTTAATGTTGCCCTTATGAGAGCCGATTTTCGACATATAATAATTTGACTTCTTTTTTTGGAGCAGTCGAGTATAAAGATTCCTACATTCACTATACTGTGGTTTAAGATCTATGTTTCTATGATTTATTAGTTTCTTATATAGCTTTTGTTGACTTTGTTGAGTTCGCGTAACTCAGCATCGTACCAAGGTTTGTTTATTCGGTTTGTTTGTTTCCGGTAAGGAAATGATTGAGTGTATGCGACAGAAAACTTATCGAAGAAGTTTTCAAAACAGATGTTGGGGTCTTGGATGTTGCCGAAGTCATCAATATCAATAGAATTCAGTTTATTCAAAAAGTATTCAAATTAGAAGTGGTGAACTGGCGATGAAGTGTTCCAACTCTATTATGAATTTGCTTTTCTAGGAGAGAGCATTGTACAATTGTAAGGTGATCAAAAATACAGTCTACTAAAACAGCACTGTTAATTTTTTTTATCATATACATTTGTCCATATATGGTCTATACCGGTAGGCCTATGTCAGTCGTTGGTCTATACCGGTAGCAAAGCTACAGAATGCAATATTCACTGGAGTAATATCTTGGATTTGGCCTTATTCTCCTTCCACTTCTAGTAAAAGTCATACTGGGCATAAAATTAGGACTTTCATTGACAATATTAGATTGACTTGGAACATCAGCATTCGACTCAGACAAATTAGAATATTCATTTTCTTCTTCTGTTCGATGATAGTAACATTCATTTGCTTTAAGGATATGTCTTCGATTGCGACGATATCTTCTTCCATCAGACTCAACAATGTAAGATCTTGGTAAGTGGTGATTCTGGCATATGGTACCTTTCTTGTCATATCCTTTAGTTTGCATTCTCAATATATCACCAGTGTTCAAATTAAGTAGCAGTTTTGAAAGACTTACCTTTATGTTATGTTACCCCTATGTTACCATGTGACTCAGCAGGAACGTCACCTTCAGCTGCCTCATATGTGAAAGATTCTTCTTTTTCTCTACCCTCTTTTCCGATCAAATTAAGTAATATGCAATATGCATGCAACTTTGTCAGTTTTATCACTGCGCAGTGCTCCCATGAAATTCACGAACGAAAATTCTCCAGTTTTCAGCAACATTTTCATCAAAAATAAGAGGATCTGGTCTGTTCAGTGACGAATCAGCCATCTCAAATTGATTGCTCACTGACGCAATTTTTAGAATGCTTCAGGCAACTTTAAATCAATCCCGATTTTGGCACTATGTTTGTTTGTTGGTATAAAGACACAACTGTTCAGGATGCTCGAGTATATTTATGGATATAACCTAGACAACACATATCCCAGCACTTATCAGCTAGCAGTACAAGCAGAGAGAGCAAAAGCAAGCAAGGTCAAAGATAACAAGTATAGCATTAATAACGACGTCATAAATATCATCTTACACTACGTACTAGGGATTAGCCAAGATTCGGATTCGAGTCGAATCCACGCATTTTTTGGACTCGGATTCGATTTCGAGTCCACGTCATTTTTACCGAGTCTATGATCAATTCTGTTTTTACTAATTTTCGCCTATGTTTGTACTTTTACCTCTATATATCTCAGTATATACCCTAACTCAGGGGTGGGCAAACTACGAACCGCGGGCCAAATCCGGCCCGTTGGGTAATTCAATGCCGTCCGATGCTGCCACAACCGAACCAAAACCAAATTTTGATGTTTTTGCAAAAATATAGCTCAAAGAATTTGTTGAGATCGTTCATTAAATTTAGTTTTGGCACGAGGATTATTGTTTTCTACTTTTGCTTTTGTAAAACTGTAAATATTATGCATACAATATAACTTTTTACGTCACATTTACATGGCCCGCCAGTCTGGATGGGCGAAATTTTTGACCCCTGGTCCAAAAACCTTCCCTAAATATCTCAACAAGCCTAAATTAACAGAATTAAAACCCTACAATTTGTAACTCAATGCCGCAAAGTAAACGCAGCTTCTAACAAAGATACTCATCTGA